TAAAATAGGTGAGGTTTTTGAACATTTATCTAATTGACATGGATCTCGGAATTACAGATAGGGCTCAGGAAAGAAAGCCAAATATCGGCTTTCCTACTGTAGGATGACTTAATTAATGTAACTGAATGATCAAAAGAATTTGAATAAGTAGGGCAGCACTTGTGAGACTTAAGGAAAAAAAAACACAGAAAAAAGTTTGAGGGCTTGACTACCTGAATTTTCTGATGGGGAACCTGGGTATTTAGGAAGATATATTACCATGGTGTGAAGAATTCAGACCAAATGGAATTGAATGAAAGACAAGATCAGCAGCCTGGATGATTTAGTTAACCAATGGTTTTGCAGTGAGGAAATGTCATAGATAAGAATGTGTCGCTCTAACTGCAGGATGTTTCACCGGCAGCATTTTGCAGAATTGTGTGGGATTGCTCAAGATAAAAGATAACTCAAGAGACAAACAAGAGACAATTATATGTGAAGAAAACATTAAATAGTTTGGAATGTTCTGAAAATAGGAAAGGCAATGTGATGGGAAGAAAAGGATAATTAAGAGGACCTCAGATTGTAAGATAAAGCTGAATTTTTGGAGTAGCTTGCATTATTTATTTTTTTCTTTCATTCTAAGAAAGACAAAAACTAAAAACCAAAAACCAGTGCTTTGGATTAGGGAAGGAGACCAGGTCTTTACAGATTAATAATCTGTTTAAAACCTTCCTTATTTTGCTACTCCTGTGTTTCAAATAAATTATAGTAATGGCCTCTTATCCAAAATGATCCATCCATAGTTCTCAGATTAAAAAATTAATAAAATATGGACTGGTTCAAAATGTTAATATCATATCGACCCTTAAAACTTTCTTGTCTGGGTCTACCAGGGTACTTTCCTCTGATAAAGACTGCTGATGAAACTCCCTCCTCAGAAAATCACATGATGCCTTTGACCTATAAATATTACTGGCATTAAGGGCACCTGGGTGGCTCAGTTGGTTAAGTGTCCTACTCTTGAGCTCAAAGTCATGAGTTCAAGCCCTGTTTGGGCTACACACTGGGGGTGTGGAGGCTACTTAAAAAATATATATATATAATATATATATAACTCTATATTATATAATTATATATAATATATAACTCTCTCTATATTATATATATATATATAAATAACTGGCATTTGTTTCTGAATCTTCCTTGGGCCCAGTTTAATGCCCTACAAGTACTGAATGAATATTTCGTTGGTTGAATAAATGACCTCTATGTGCAAGGAGACCCAAAGTCAGAAAAATGGAGGAGCTGGAAGAGAAATCTAGGAGATGTGGGTTCTAGTATCAGTTCTACAAATTTAGTTCAATTTAGAAGAGGATTTATGCAGCTTCTTGCTATGTATCATGAATTGTGGTAAACATCAAGGTCCAAAGGAGTAATTCCGCTTCTGAAGAAGAGAGTGTAGCGGCAATTGGGTTCTGCGCATGCGTACATGCACAGTGTAATAAAGCTATAGGTTAACAGCTAGCAGAGAAGAAAACTTAGCAAATTTACAAATGGTCTTTTTGTATACACTTTATTTTTTTAAGATTTTATTTATTTGACAGGGAGACACAGCGAGAGAGGGAACACAAGCAGGGGGAGTGGGAGAGGGAGAAGCAGGCTTTCTGCCGAGCAGGGCGCCCGATGCAGGGCTCGATCCCAGGACCCTGGGACCTGAGCCGAAGGCAGACGCTTAGGGACTGAGCCACCCAGGCGCCCCTGTATACACTTTAATTTCCAAAGCTATTCACCTAAGATTCTGCCTTTATTATGTGCCATTAGTGACTTTGGATGTCTTCAAGTTTGCATTTCAGACGGGGGAAGGGAGGCCTCCCTAAAACTTTCACATGCTAACAGCTGTAATTAAAGTAGAAGGCCTTATTTAAATAGTAATTAGCCTTCAGGACTTGAAGTGTAAACAGAACGCTAATTCATTTGGATAGTTAATTGGTCTTCTGGGTTAGAGATCTTAGCTTGGCCTTCCTCTTTAGCTATGATGTATTTCTGTACTGAGTACAGTGTGTTGACTCAGTGGGATGAAATTTTGCAAAATCTTGCTTGACTCTCAGAATTTTAGCTTTTAACTCCCCAGTAAAGGCTAATGCAAATGAATTTGAAAACATTGTGAAAAACATCAAGTAAAATTCTGTGGCAAAATTATTAACACTTGACTTTTCTTCATAATCACAGGGACCATATGGCCCAATTTATTCAGGTTTTTCCAGGCAGTTGTTATTAGCTCCCCTTTAGCATTAGCTATTCAGGAATATCTTGGTTTGGAGATAAATTATGTGGTCATCCTAATCACAATTAAAGATGACAACATACAGTGATTGCTGTAACAAAAGGTGTGGATCAGATTCGTTATATTTTCTAGTGAACCCAATGACAAATGTCAAAGTCCTTTCCCTATTTTCTGCCATAAAGACGGTTAACAAGTGATATTACTAAGTATTTTTTTTTAAGATTTTATTTATTTTTTGACAGAGACAGAGACAGCGAGAGAGGGAACACAGGCAGGGGGAGTGGGAGAGGGAGAAGCAGGCTTCCCGCTGAGCAGGGAGCCCAATGCGGGGCTCAATCCCAGGAACCCTGGGATCATCACCTGAGCCGAAGGCAGATGCTTAACGACTGAGCCACCCAGGTGCCCCACAAGTGATATTACTAAGTTTAAAAGGTCATCTTTTTTGAAGGTCATTTATTCTACCAGGAAGTTTGTCATTGCCTTTGTCAAGTTTGCTAGTCTGCCAAATAACTCTTGCTCAAAAAAAAAAAAAATCATTGTATTTGATAACTGCGTATCTGTGTTATTGTGTTTCCTCAGTCCTAGAGGTAAGTTGCATGGAAGGTGGTCTGATGTTTCACTTTTTAAAGTGTTTTTTTCTTCTTACTCCAGCTCATCAGAGTGTACAACAGATGCTTAGGCCTGCTGCTAGCCATCTTTTCAACATAAACATCCCAACAGACTTGTATAAATAGTACCTATCACAGTAATTCAACAAATATTTAGTGAATGCAGTGGCTAGCACATAGGAGGAATTCACAGATATTAATTGAATGAATAAATACTAACCACACCTTTGACTTGGTGTGAGGTGCTACCAGCTAGGTGGTAGGAAGAGGGAGAGGAGAGAAAGCTCTGCATAATATCAGGTATGTTCTGCCTTTAAGTCTCCAAGGGGAAGGTGTGAATAAATAATCATAATTGAAGGTAAGACTTGTTAAGTGCCAAAAGAATCTCTATGAGTGGGTGGTAGAGCTCACTCCAGCTGGGGAGGGTGTTCAGGAGAGGCTTTGAAGGAGGAGAGGTAAATATTCAAATTTAGAATTGTCCCTCTGTTCAGGGTTCATTTTGGCCCCAGATTGAGTCCCATGAAATGTGGAAGGGCCCTTCTGACAGTCTCTGCAATTGTGCACTTGATTTTTGTTGTTTTGTTGATGTTTTTTGTTTTGGCTGGCTAGCAGCTTTTCCTTCAAGATTGATGACTAATCCAAATGAGCATCAGCTCACTTTGCAAATATGACTGTTACAATACAGCCATAAATAATGCTAAAAGCTACCAATTTATTATGATTCACTTTACTACCAAGTTGAAATATCATTGCAGTAGCATGACTAAAACAAGGGAGTTGAGCCTTGTAGGGTAACCATTACCACCACCAACTCCAGCCTGCCAAGCACCTCAGGCTCAGTAACAGGACAGCAGCCTTTCCTATGGCATGTCAGAAAGTGATTGCTTTCCATTAGTGCAGGGGTGGAGTGGGAGCTGGTCTTCAACCCCTGGGTGCTAGCTTTGAGTGACAGCCCCCTCACCCCTGACTGCCACCCAAGACCTAAGTAGGAAAACAGAAGGGGATGGAATGGATACACAGGGGGCCAAAGTTTTTCATTTCAGATGAGAGTGGGATAAAGCTGAGAATAAAGTAACTGGCTCCATTTCCCCTTGCCCCAGAAGTGAGACCATTTCCATCCCAACTCCTCTGGCTTTGCCTGCCTGCCAACATTCTGGGTTGGGCACCTTCAGATGCTTTGGGCCTTTTGTTGCCAAGGTCCATCTTAAAGGCAAGATTCATGGGACTTTGTGGCCCAACCCATCCCAGAGTCCAGAGAACTTGGCCCATATCCAGAGTTAAAATACGAGATAATTGCTCTTAGACACTGGCCTTGAAGATTCAACAGGGAAGGCTTAGTTTGAAAATGAGTGAAAAATGAAAATATATACATGGAGGGCAAGTTTTTCACTGCAGATTAGAATGGAGGAAGCCGAGAATGAAGTGACTAGCACAATCTCCTGGTAGACTCGCTGTCTTTGGAGAAAATAACATCGGGCTGGTGTTTACGGCATTAAAAAAAAAAAAAAAGATACATTGTCACAATGTTACCTAAAATACGAAGCAAAATAATTTTGCCTTGAGATTTTTAAAACGAGGAAGGTTTAATCGCAGAGCAATACTGATGCAAATCATTGAAAATGAACAGAACATGCAGATCCTACTTTTTTTTTTTAAGTGTATTGTTGCTCACACCGAGACAGACTGTTCTGCTACCAATAGGACCCAGGCCTCACCCAAGCCAAAGGGCTCTCCAGGATGCACGCACGCTCTACAACCCGCTTCTCGAAAAGGAAGGTAGGGCCCGGGACACTCCGACTGTTTGTGCGAAGGTCCTAGAGAGGGAAAGTAACCGGAGTCGGCCTTTTCGGGCGGAACCACCCCCTCCCACGAGTTTCACTGGGTCCTCGGCCCCGCCCCTCTTTTATTCCGCGAGCAGCGACCCGAGCTGAAACTTTGTAACCCGAGCGCGCTCGGCCCGCGCTCCTCCCTGCCCAAGTCCAGCCCCGGAGGGAGGTGCAGGAGGTGGGACCTGCGGCCGGGAAGGCTCGGGGACGCCAGCGCACGCGGAGCGGAGACCCAGGGAGAGCACGCCGCGAAGAGGAGGAGCTGAAGAGGGAGCGGAGCGCGCGGCGGGAGAGCCGGAGGAAGTGGTGCGGGCCATCGGCTCAGTCGAGCGGCGGGGAGCAGCTGGGCCCAAGAGTCCCGAGCCGAGCCGAGGCCAGGGGGCCTGGGGTCACGGTCCCGCGTCCTCGCAGCTGCCGTCGCCCAGGAGCGGCAGCTGTGCCCGGGCTCCCCGCGGCGGCGGGAAGGGGGTAGGAGGAGCTGCAGCTGGACGGTGGCAGCTGGAGGAGGAGCCGCGCGGCTGTCCCGTGCGCCCGGGAGGGGGCCGCGCTGGGATGACCCGCTGACCGCGGCCATGCAGCCTTGACGGGACGCTCCGGCGCACGGGGACCAGCTGCGGGGCGCGCCCTCTCGGGAAGGGGCAGCGGGCCCTGGTAGCAAGACTTAAACCGTCGACTTTAGCCTCGCTGGGAGCAAAACCGTTTACCATGGAACCCGTGACCAAGTGGAGCCCCAAGCAAGTGGTGGACTGGACTAGAGGTGAGCGGGTCTGGGGGTGGGGGCGGCGTGTCCAGCCCAGGGACGGGGCGGGCGGGGAGCTGGGGTAGGGGGGTTGCCCAGCCGCTCCTTCAGGCGAGACGCGTTGAGAGCGTTGCGCGGTGACAATGCAAACTTCTTCGGAGCGGCTTGTGCACACCTAATCCTTGTGCCTGCTTTTGGGGGTGCGGGTTGTGGCAAGCCGCGGGGAGCCCCATCATGAAGCCGTGGAGTGGAGATGGCCTCTCTATGGAGAGTGAGGGTTGGGGGTGCCGATCTCGGGACTTGCCGGGGAGGGCTCTGCGGGACCGGGAGCGCCTTCCCTGCCTGGGTGCGGTGCCCGGCTCCTAGGCTGCCCGTCCGGGAGCGGAGAGGCACAAGGCGCCTTTGTGTGGGTGGCTCCCCTCGGACCTCGTAAATGCCGCCTGCCCAGAGTAGTTCTCAAGCATGACGGGGCGGTTGGACAGGTAAAGGGAGACTCCGGCGGCTCGCCGAGCCTCTGTTTTTGTTGGAGGAGGCGAGAGGGCAGCACAAGAGAACATTGAGGCGTTCGCGCCGGCGAGAAGCCTTGAGCCAGACTCCCCGGACTCGGTGACTTGCTCGGGAAGGTGCCAGTACCCCCTGTGGCGCTGCATTTTTAGGCCACGTTTAGACCCTGGGAAGAAGAGATCTGTTTAGAATAACTGTCCTGAGTTGTACAGTATTTGGGGTGAGGGGAAAAAAGTGGGGAGGGGATGGAGCAGGGATAGAAGGTCGTACTCCCGAGTGGTCTGGCTTGCTTTTTATGTCTCCCAGGACTTCCAGGGAAGAGTGCTACAGCTTCCTCAGCCTCTTTGTACTCTTCCAAAGAAAAAGCCCAGAAAACCAACCGCTGTTTTCATGGGTTCCTCATCCCCCTCTCAGCTTATCATCTCTTTGTTTCAAGTTACTATTTTTTTTTCTTTTTTCTATCTGCTCTTGCAGGTGAGGAATGGTGTCCTTTCCCAATAATAATAACTAGAATTGTATAGCGCTTTACAGTTTGCTAAGAACTCTCTCTCTCTGTTGTTGCCTTTGGTCATCACAGTAAGCCTGTGAGGTAGGTAATACTGGTAAGATCAGGTCATCTTTCCAACTGTCTCACCCATGGCTGGGGTGTAACGGAAACTGGTCATCTCTACATCTCATTTCTCATGCCTGCATAGTACACATGGACCACGTGGAATGGGATGTTCTAGATATATGGGACATTATGGGATGTGTCAGTGGGGAATGCCTGATCATTTCCACCGGGAGCAGGAGAGGGGATACACTGCTGAGAAGAACTTTGTCCAGGGACCTAAATTTCCTCGGTTCTTATTTAAAATGAGGATGAAAACAACACAAATGTGTGCGTTGGTGACTAGGTCTGCCCAGGTAAAGAGTCAACAGCATTGCCAGTGCTTGGCGCAAAACATTAACTTAAAAGCTGAAAGTTCCCAGGCCCTATTTTGCAATGGGGTGTGTTTCCCTGTTCAAGATACCACCAGATTCCCCATCAAGTGACTTGGCGAAGACTGAGTTGGTTGATTATTTTACCTGTGTGTCTGTCATAGAAGCAACTCAAGAAACGGATGATTTTCAGCCATTTTTGACCTCCAGAGCTGTTCTGTCCAGTGGGGTAGCTACTAGCATGTGGCTCTTTAGCCCTTGAGGTGGGCTGGTCAGAATTGTAATGTGTTGTAAGATATACACATGTGAAGACTTAGTGCAAAAAAGAAACCTGAATGTATATTATCTCAATTTTTCATATTTACTACATGTTGAGGTGACTTTTTTGGGTATATTGGCTTACATGCAGTTTAAGATTAAAATTAACTTCACCTGTTTATTTTTGTATTCTTAATTGTGGCTCCTAAAAAGTGGAAAATTACACACATGAGTCACATTTGTGGCATGCAGTATATTTCTGTTGGAGTCAAGAAAGGGTTACAGTTTATCACTCTGGTTTTCCTGAGCCCCTGCCAGCCTACTTGATAATGTACAACTAGAAAAATGGTAACAGGCACACAGGAAGATTATGGAGTGAGATCTTCCCACCCTCAAGATGCGTGTCTTTTTTTTTTTTTTTTTGGTCCCTTTTGGGATTGGGAGAAGAGAAGTGTAAATTCACATCCTGTTATGTTTGTTTAGCATCTAAAAGGAAGAGCAGATTCAGAGGTTTGACATGAGATTGCTTTCATCTAGGAAAAGTTTCCTACTGACGTAAAAGAGCAATTACAGGTGGGTTCAATATCTTGGTATCAGGAGCACTGGACACTGATTAGGTTACATACCTGTGGTTAGCATGTGGCAACTTGATACAGAATGCTTGTGCCCTTTTGGACCCTTAAGTACAGCCTCATAGAATGATCTGGATACTTTCTGTGTTAGAACCTAGAAAAGATAACAGGAGTAAGTGTGGCAGACTCTGAGACGAGAGGTTACATTCTCCCAAATTGCATGACACATTACTTGAATATTTCTCATAGTAATGATGTGAAAATACTGACTTTTCAATCAACTGTTGATTTATGCAAACTTGTTTGCTTATACAGCTATTTTTAGTTATCTTTGCTAAGCTCTCTACGCAACCCCCACTTTATAAATACATCCTCCTGATAAGAAGTTCTTCATGTAGACTTTGCTACGCTCTGTGTTGCATGAATATGGTATGGTGATTGTGAGCACCGTAGAAAGCCTTGGGTTTAAAACTGTCTAAACCTGACCACGGCTTACAGCTTGCCCTTTCTCTCGAGCTGATGTTAGGAGGCAGGTGCATGCATTAGGAAAAAGAGTCTGTGTCTACAGAATGAATGAATTCATGTGGATTTTATTATTATTTTATTATTATAATTTTTGTGTGTATGAGTCTTTAGCTGTACTGTCACCAATTTCTTCATAATATTAGGAGATCCTCAGTAAATCTTAGCCGTGTGTCAGGCTCAGGTCTCCTGAGCGAGGAGACCTGAGTATTCACTCAGGTCTCGTGCGAGTATTCACTCATTTAACGCGCGTAACCACGTTTTGAGGTAGGAACTGATATTTCCATTCTGTAGTTGCATTCTGAGCACAGAAGGGTGCAGTACCCTAATCAGTGTCACACAGAGGGGGAGGGGCAGCAGCATTTGAGCCCAGGTGCCTCAGCTTTACTCCATCTTCTCAGGAGGTTCTCACTCTTAGAGCAGACCTTCAGGATTCCCATGATGTGTGTTATTAATATCCTGTAGGTGGAGGAGAGTTCTGGTGTATGTGTGTCTTATCCTACCGATTTGGGAGGATTATTTGTAAGTCAGATTAATTCATAGTTCGTGACACCCTGCCTTTAAGTAATTCTAAAAGCTTTTGCAAAGCAAATGATCTTCAGATGAGAATAGGGTCAGGGGCCCATAAGTGAAAATCCAATTTATAGGAGTTTAACCAAATGGGACTGTTGATTTTCTCTTGTAAAAGAAGTCTGGAGATGGGGAATTCAGAAGTGGCTGGGGGCTCCGTGGTGCCGTCAGGGGCTCCTTCTGCCATCCTGTTGAGCCATTCTTAGCATGCGTTGCAGCAAGTGGTGTTCATCTTCATACTTAATGCCACAGTGCAAGATGGCTATTCCACCTCCAGTATCCCGTCTTTAGGAGGAGAGACTGGTGGCGAAAGACTGGTGGTAGCCAAGTCTTCTAGAAGCTCCATCAGGTGACTTGGCTTACGTCTCAGTTGCCAGAACTATCACATAGCCTCATGCTGAAAGGGAGGTTAGTCACTGTAGGGTTTTTGTGTTTTTGTGTTTTTTTTATTTTATTTTTTTATTTGGGTCCATTGTGGCCCTGAAAAAATTGGAGTTTGTTCAGTGAGGAAGGGGGGGGTGGAGAATAGATATTGGTAAGCAGCCAAGTAGTGTCTGACACACAGTAATTTATATGTACTGACCTTTATAGGTTAGTTCTCAAAGTAGGATACATGTCGTAATTTCCCACTTAAATCAAGCCCGTAGGCCCGCCCTGTTTTAGAAATGGCGTTCTGTTTTCATTCCTGTTCAGCTTTCTCAGGTCAAAAACCGTAAGTTGTGTGATGTCTTTGTCTCTAGGTTTGATTTAAATGTTAGATGTTGCCTTGTAAAATGCAGTCACCCACGTTGTGTTTCTGTTTTCAGACCCCTGGGGAGTGTCTTTGACAAGGAGGAAGGACCACTGATTTGTCCCAGAAGTGCCATTGGTCATTGATTGGCCTGGCGTGGACAGTCTCTCAATAAGTGTGTTGTCAAGTGAGCACATCTCTAATGCCCAGCGTTAGTGCCAGAACAGAAGCCTTTCTGGCCAGCTTCTTGCTCCTAGCATGGGTACCATTTCGCCATCACGAACCAAGAGTGAAGGGGTTTCTTGCTTTAGGTGTGAGCCTGTGGGATTCGGGGCATTAGCTCATTCTCTGTAATCTGGCCACAGGCGCTGTTCTTCCCTGTGATGTCTGTTAGTATGTGGGACATCAGCAGTCTTAAAGTGCCTCGTTGTTTGGTCCTGAGGGGCTGGAATTTCAGTGTGTTACCTGTAGAGATCTGGTACACTGTAGGTCGACTCCAGGCTTAGACTCTTAGGTCCCTCTTGCTGCCGTCCATATGGAGGCCAGTTCTTCCCGCAGTCCTCATTCCAGTTAGTTTTTCTGTTCCCTGTAGCCTCTTTGGCCAGTGAAAAAGGAGGTCCTTTTCTTTTGACAGTTGTACATCTCCCTCGTGGGTCAGAAACTCTTTTTATTCCACTCTCTTCATGGTTCTCCTCTATTTCCTGGGCTCTCGCCATAGAGTTATCATAATCGTAATAATAGAAAAACAATTATTGAAGCATTTATTGTGTGTCAGCCACTGTGCTAAGCGCTTTATTTTGACTCATATAATTCTCAGAAAACCCATTCAGCTGTACAAACCATTATTAACCCATATTAAAGATGGAGACACTGAAGCGGAGAGAGAGGGAGAGAGAGACAGAGAGAGAGAGAGAGAGAGAGAGAGAACTTGCTCAGGGTTC